GAACTGATGGCTATGTCGAGACGTCTCCTCCGCCCCCTGTTGCAGAGAAGACCAAGTATCCATCAGTTCTTCAAAGAGGCCTGTCATCCAAGCCCAGACCTCAGCCTCTGCATTAGGAGGTGTGGGAATCCACAGCCACGGTCTCAGCTTTCTTTAGCATTATCTCCTTTTATGGGCCCAAGGAAGTAGAGGAGGCCTCTAGTTTGGCCCCTGGGCAATGGAAGAGCAAGCCTGGTTATTGCAGGAAGCAGAAACCTCCTGCCCAAGGAGACACAGAAGGTTCCAGAATGGTCCTGGCAATATGGCTATAGTGACCAACTACCCCAGTTTCTGAAGGACAGTTCTGGTTTTAGTGTCAATACCCCCATAGCCCTGGGAACCCCTCAGTCCTATGCAAAATGGGAAAATTGGTCGCCCCAGGCAGAGCAGAGCCTCAGTGGACAAACCCCCCACTCCCTCCCTCCCTCAACCAGGAAATCCGGCTGGTTGTATAGCCCCCACATCAGCCAAAACAACTAGAGGTCAACTAACTGAGCACCTGCCCATGGTGACACTTACCATGTACAGAAAGGTATGTCTTCCCAGGCCCTGGCTGAAAAGCAGAGAATCCTTTCCTGCTGGCTGCTTTCAGGGCTGAGGTGAAGTGTGGGGGCGTGATCACAGACCTCCTCAGAAGACACAGTCTGAACTCCAGAGTTTTATCTCTGCTATGGGAGCCATCTGGGCTGATGTCCAAAAGTTTGACAAGGGTGAGCTATTTTTCCAGAAAACCCAATGCCAAGTGAGAGAGGCCTGGACGAGGGACTGAGAGCTGAGCCAGAGAGCAAGTGAAGCTATAGATGGGGCCTCATTGGGTGGAGCCCCACGCAACTCGCCTTCCAGTCTGCCCTGTGGTTTGGGGTCCCGCTTACTCTTCTAGGGACAGGTTTTACCTTCCTGTCAGGAGAATGGCCATGAGCTGAGTGCCAGCAGCCTTCCTGATGCAACGCTCACTGCTGTCCCGTGCATGGTCTCACTTCACCCTCATGCTGCCCTGTGAACCTAGGCTTGTTACCCCCACCTCTGAGATAAGGAAACATCTAGAACAGTGCCTGCTCCTGGTGAGTGCTCGGGAATGGCAACCACTGTGATTACCGGTCCCTACATGGGTGGAGTCTTGCTGTACTTAAACTGAGAGTGCTAAGCAGCTGTCACTAGGGAGTGGAGATGGGCGCTGAGCCCCTAGGGCATCATCCCACAGGCCAGGTGCATGTGTTTGGGGACCCTCAGATATAGAACTCTCATGAGTCATCATGCCCTCCCACACCTAGGAGCCTGTTGTGACCAGCACCTGCCCAGCAGCAACCCCAGGCCCACTGGCTGCCTCACCTTCTCCTCCCTAGAAATCTACTGTGTCCCAGTGCAAAGGACACAGCCCAGCTGAGAGCCTGGAAGAGCCTCCTTTGGTGTTCGTGTTTTCTATCCATGTGAGTACAGGGCTCCACCAAAGCCCTGCTAAGCTATAGCTTCCCATGGTATGGGCTCGATGAAGGCCATCTGGATCCACAGGATCTGGAGAAGCCAACAGCAGCCAAAGCCCAGGAAGCCCCATGCTGTTTATACAGCCGTGGGGGTCACATGGGTTCCTAGGCAGGGCTCCACACCTGTGCTGCCCGGAATGGGTTTGTCTTCCTCCATTCTGCCCAATTAATGACAAGGCTAATGGTACCAGCCACCAGCCACTAAGCACTTAGGACTGCCAGGCCCCAAGCTGAGCTCTCTGCAGGCATTCTCTCATTCACTGCTCACAACAATCTCATGAGATTGGCATCACCAATAACCCTATTTAGTAGATGAGTAAACTGAGACTTGGAATGTTTCAGGAACCTACCCCTACTCCAGCCCTGCTTTGCCCTCCCAGCTCTGAATGCCCGTGGCAGTGACTGATGGCTGATCTGTTGGCCCTCCCTTCACTGATGTCCTCAAATTATATGCTGTTTGAGTCCAGTCTTTCCAGGAGACTCTAAGTTCTTGGAGGCAAGGACAGACCTCCTACTCCTCTTGAAATCTCTATTGTGCAAGCACAGTGCTGGCTTCCAGATGTCTCAGAAGAAAAGGGTAAATGAATGAATGCTTTGCCTGGAGTGAATTGTGCTAAATAAGAAAGCAAAGAAAAGATTTTGAGAGAAGGAGAATGGTAAAAAAAAAAAAAAAAAGGAGGAAGGAAGGAAGGAAGGAAAGAAGGAAGGAAGGAAGGAAAAAAAAGTGGGTAGGGAGCTGGGAGGGAAAGACATTTCCAAAATCAGTCTTACTATCCCTACTGCTATGGATGGCAAACTAAAGAAATCAGGCTGCTCTGTGTAGGGGAGCAGCGCCTGCCCACACTAACCCTAAGAAAGTGTTCTCTGGGCCAAAAGCCATTCTGCCAGAGGGAGCCAAGCCCACAAGCCAATTCTGTGCTCAAGGCATAGCTAAAAATTCTTGATAAGTTTTTTTAGGTAATTTTATAAGACATATAAATGATATTTTTAGGGGCACCTGGTGGCTCATTCAGTTGAGAGTCCAATTCTTGATTTCAGCTCAGGTCGTAATATCAGGGTCATGAGATCAAACCCCATATCGGGATCTAGGGTGTCTGCGGAGTGTCTGTTTGAGATCCTCCTTTTCCCTCTGTTCCTCCCCCTGCTTGTGCTTTCGTACTCTCTCTCTCTCAAATAAATCTTTAGAAACAAACCTGTAAGTAATATTTTTAAGCTCTGAAGTAGCCTCTAAGTCATTCTTAGAATGGAAATGGTCTATTTCCATTCTTCTTAGCCCTCTTTTTATTAGAACCAAATAATTACCTGGAACCCCTTATCAGCAAGAACTGATCTTGTATAGTAAGTATGCTAATTAATTCCCTCCAGGACCTGTGGACTCTGCTGAGATGGGGTCTGCTTCATCCCCAGAACATGCCATGAGTACTCCCGGCCATACTCTAAAATACCCTTCACTCTCCTCCTTCCTGCTCTGCCCATCCTTCAAGGACCCCAGTAATTCCAAATATCCCCTAAATCCCCAGCTCTCAATGATCTATCCCCACCCTGAGAACCTGACAGCCTGCCCCACACACACACTTGCCATCCCTAGTGCTGCGTAGCAGCAGGGGCAGTTGTCTCCCCAGCTGGGTTATTAGCTTCTTGAGGACTGGGCCTGTGATCCCACACTGGGTCCAGTTGCTTCCCTGGTGCCCCCACTTCTCCCTAGATGCACCTCTGCATTAGCACTGGGCTTTTCATGCATGGGGGTACATCTGTTTCGGTACACATCTGTTGACTGACTAATTGATTTGAGTGTGTGTGAATGAGAAAGATAGCCAGATAGCCTCTCAGGAAAGTATAAACAAGATCAGAACCACCTTGAAATAAAGTGTTATGTTCACTCTAGGGAAATTTGATAAAAATGTAATGTTTTATATCATGTCTCTCTTGATGTCAAGAAAAGAGCAAGACACAGGCATCAAAAAATTTCAGAGGGCATTTCCTAAGTCTGCCACTGGCTATACCAGGGTGGATCCCCAGCAGGGTTAAGTTCTGGCCAACACCACAGTGAGTGATTTAAACTGGAACTCAGCTAACAAGGTGTGTGAGGTTGAGAATAGGAGGGCTTCCTTAACCGGTGCAGATGCCCTGAAAATTTCATTAAAAACTAGGCAAAGCTACATGAAGAAAGCACCTACAATCACACAGGGCAGTCTGAGACCCCAAGATGAGGCACGCCATAAACTGTAGAGTGCACCGAGAAAGGGAACACACTGTGCAGTGTGAGGAGTTGACAGTGTGATTATTTGTCGGGACACAACCCTGTGTGGTCTGTCTGCCGGCAGTAGCAGGGCAGCTCGAATAGAAGGCTCAGTCCCCTGCCTGGTTCCTGGCTGTATCCAAGCACCAGCAAACGGGTGGGATGTGCTCTGTGCACCCCTGGTGGCCCACCTCGCCTCTCTGCAGCCTCAGGCCAGAGTGGGAAGAGACAGACCTCAGGCCCCAGAGCCGTGTGGAACACAGAGAGAAGCAGTGCAGACCAGGGCTGCACCTCTGGCTTTGTCCAGCAGGTAGTAATGATTCAGGTTGTGGAGGGGGAAAGGGAGAGACACTGTACACTGGGAAGAGCACCAGAGTCAGATTCAGAATAGTAGGACAAAGGCCTCTTCTCTGCCACTCACTGCTGTGTGGCCTGGGGCAAGTTGCTGTCCTCTCTGGGCCTGTGTTCTCAACTAAAGAATAAATCAGAGGGACAAAGAAGGCATGGGGCCCTCAGAGTCCTCATAGGCCATGCTTCTCCAATCAGAGGGGTGTCCGGGGCCCAGCACAGTTAGGCTGGATGCCCAGAAGCACACAGCCAGCCAGTAGGATCTGGGGCACTCTGACCTCTGCCCCACAGTGAAGTTCCTTACCGCCCCCCCCACCCCACTCCATGTCTGATTCCCCACACTTCATTGTCACTGCCTCTCACTTCATCCCTGTATCCAGCACTAGGGACAGGGAGTCACTTGGCCCTCCTGCCTTCATCTCCCAGCTCCCCTCCCTGGGGTGGTCTCCCCAAGCTGGCTGCCTGACGTTTGCTGCTCCCTGGCTGATCCTGGAAACCTGTCCCCTAAACCATCACCAGTGTCAGGCCAGGGGGTGAGCCAGCAGGGTGATAAAAGCTAGACAAAGGAGGAGAAGCTTGAAGGGAAGGACAGGTAACCACCAGATCCAGGCAGGGCAACCGAGGAAGGCTGGCTTGGGAGTCTTTGCCCCTTGTGGGGCCACCCCAGGTGGGTACCCATGGGCAGGGCCAAGCCTATGGGTGATGGCTATACCCATCTGTTCTTGTGGGCCAGGGCCGGAGGTATCACCATTTTTAAATGTTTTTCATCACCCTGTCACTTCCCACTGCTTAGACCCAAAGAAGACAGACCTGAAACCAAAACCCACAACTTTACTGTGACCCTTGATCAAACATCCCCACTAACTAACCTCATGAGAATAGACAGAGTCAAGTTTGCAATGCCAAGAGAATACACTTTATTGGGTATATTTCCAGGGGAACCTAGTTTTGCATAGCACAAAAGCAATTAAGTCCAGAAACACAATCTAAGAAGTATTTTGGTAGAAAAAAATCTGCTGAGCGGGGAGCCCCTCTAGGGAATAGGGGGTCGTGTAGAGCCGGGAGTGACAGGAGTGTCCTTCTAGGGGCTGGCTACAGTGAGCAGGGCTGCAGGTGTTCCCTGGAGGAGACGACTTTCCCATCTCTGATCTCCTCCGTGATGGTGCGGATCTGGGTGCTGACCTGCGGAGCTGGGCCACAGGGCACAGCTGGAGCACAGGGCATGGTGGAGACATAAGGCACCCTAATCGAAGGCTTGCCTTCCGTGGCACAAGGGTGAGCCGGCAGCCTGAGGACATGAAATCATATCAGAGTGCATTTGGCATCGGGGTATGGGACTGAGATTCCTGTTCAAAGGATTTAGGGGATAGAGCGATTATAGGTGGGTAATCGCTTCAGTGCTCTGACCTGAAAGGGCTGCATGGAGGGAGACCAGGAACTCCCAGCCAAGCATGATGGTTAGGAAAGCACTGGGAGAGGGGTCAGCTTATCCCCCGGGGATGACCAAGCTGGGACCAGAAGGAATCTCAAGAGACAGGCTTCAGGTCGATCCCTGTCATTTGTGCAATGACCTCTGCAGGGACTGACACCCTCTCCGAGGCACCGACAACAGCTGGTCCAGGGAGCCCTGTCCCCACACCTGGCTCTCCGGGGCCCACAGCCACTCACTTGCAGTCCTCGCCCTCCAGCAGGCGGCGGTAGGTGGCGATCTCTGACTCCAGCCGGGCCTTGACGTCCAGCAGCACCTGGTACTCCTGGTTCTGCCGCTCCAGATCACACCTGATCTCGGCCAACTGGGCCTCCACGTTGCCAATCAGGCACTGCATCTGGGCCAGCTGGGAGCCGTAGCGGGCCTCGGTCTCCGCCAGGGTAGATTCCAGGGAATTCCTCTGCAAAGGGAAAGAGGAAGAGCTGCTCATGGAAGGAGTCCCCCCCTACCTAGAGCCCCCATCCCATAGCCCTGAGTATCTGCATATCCTGTGTGATCATGCCCCGCGAGAAGCCCCATGCTGAGGCCGGGGAGTCAGGGCTTGCCAGGAGCCGAGGCCGGTCACTCACCATGCTATGCTGGGCCTGCAGCTCGATCTCCAGGGCGTTGACGTTGCGTCTCAGCTCGATGATCTCTGTCTGGCAGCACTGTAGCTGCTCTGAGCTGGACACCACCTGCTGGTTCAGCTCCTCCGTCTGAAACGCAAGAGAGCCCAGAACATGGTCAGACCCAGGGAAGCTACTTGCAAGGAGAAGCCCTGCCCCAGGAGCCTATGGTCCCGGGCTGCCCCAGCCCCACCTGAGTGTTGAACCAGGTCTCCACGTCTCTACGGTTATTCTCCACCAGGGCCTCATACTGGCATCTCATATCATCCAGGATCTTGTTGAGATCCACTGGGGGGGCAGCATCCACCTCCACATTCAGTCGGTCCCCGAGCTGGCAACGGAGGGTGTTGACTTCCTGCGGAGAGGAGGCACAGAGCCATGAGGTTGCAGAAAGGATGCCAGATGGAGGATTCAAGTAGCTGGGTTCAAATCCTCCTCCCTCAGGGGCCGGCTGTGTAACCTCAGACTGACTCTTAACTTCTCTGGGCTTCAGTCCCCTCCTGGACATTTACTTCCCTCTTCTGGGGAATCAGGAGAGCAAATTGAGATGATGCGAACATCAGGCAAATAGAATACATATAGTTATCAGGCACTAGCATCCAGAGGGAGATTTTGGGTCATGGGCAGGAGAGTGGGATCAGTGTGACCACAGGCTAGCGACTTAACTTCTCTGTGCCTCATTTTTCTCATTTGTAAAATGGGGTTATTATGAGGATGAGATGGAGTGAGAGCAAAATGCAAAGCATTTCAGATAGTTCCCGGCATACAAATGTCAGCTGGAGTTTCTGTGGGAGCAGGGGTCACCTTTATGCCCAAGGGTCACCAGGGGGGTTTCCCTGCTAGATAGGGAACACTGGAAGATCGCACGGCACCACCTCACCTCCTCATGGTTTTTCTTGAGGCAGAGCAGCTCCTCCTTCAGAGACTCCACCTGGGACTCCAGGTCCGCCTTGCACAGGGTCAGCTCATCCAGGATCCTGCGCAGGCCGTTGGTGTCAGCCTCCACCAGTTGCCGCATGGACAGTTCCGTCTCGTACCTGTGCACACAGAGCCCTGCTGAGTCTGTAGGGAAGGACCTGGGCACAGGTTGCCCTCCATCAGCTGCAGGGGCTGATCTGGGGTCAACAGCATGGTGAGCCTTTCCTTGGACCCAGAAGGGATCCAGGGCCTATGCTGTATTCCCACAAATGGTTCCACCTGGCCTTACTCCTGCCTCCCTAGCATCCAAGGCTGGGGACAGAGATGAGGGAAAGCCCAACAGACCTTCCCCGATGAAGCCCACTCACTTGGTCCGAAAGTCGTCAGCAGCCAGCTTGGCGTTGTCAATCTGCAGGACTAGCCTGGCGTTCTCAGCCTTGGTCAGCAGGATCTGAGGAACAAGGGGCATCCTGTGAGCTAGAAAAAAACCAGCAGTGGGGGGTGGGGGGACGGGGATCACCCAGCTCACAGAGGCCTTCAGCACCAGTACCTTTAGCACCTCTAGCCCTGAGCCCTGAGCCCTGAGCCCTGAGCCCAGGTATGGAGGAAGCATCAGTCCAGGAGGGGCATCACTAGGAGTAGGCCCCAGACTGGCACAGTGGGATGCCTCAGGGTGAGAGATGGAAAGAACCAGGCCAACCTGGATTCAGGTTCTGCATCTAACATTCAGAGGCTCTGCAATCTTGAGCAAGTTGCTGAACCTCCCTGATATTTAACTATCAGCATCTGATAAAATGGGTTCAGCAATACCCATCTCTCCAAGATGAGGCATAAATAATCCAATGGATAAGAAATGTCAGGCACAGTGCCTGCATCCAGTATGGCCTGGGTATATGTTATTGCCCTTCCTAGAGCTGAGACAGCGAGGGGAAGAGAGGGATGACTGGCATAGTTATAAGCAAGCAAAAGACTCATAGAGAGAGGTCTGGGTTCCCCGGGAAACCAAGACCCCAGATAGAAAAGCTTGCCCTGGACAGAGAATTCCCTGAGAGCTACATCAGTGGGTAGCCCCTTGGGATGAGACAAACCACCCACCCCACCAGGGCTAGGGATGCTGGAGAGGGGCCAGGTCCCCATTACCTTCTGCTGGAGCTCCTCAATGGTCTTGAAATAGGACTGGTAGTCTGGGCAGATGTATGGGATCTGAGACTCATACCACTCCCGGATACGTCTCTCCAGCTCCGCATTCTCCCGCTCCAGCTGGCGCACCTTCTCCAGGTAGTTGGCCAGGCGGTCGTTCAGGAACTGCATGGTCTCCTTCTCGCTGCCATTGAAGGAGCCCTCGCAGAACCAGCCCCCACTCCCAACAAAGCCAGAGGGGTAGCACCCAGCAGATAGGTAGGAGCCTGGCAAGCAGCTCCCGAGGCTGGACAGGCCCAGCCTGGCAGAGGAGACAGACCCCACAGCACCAGCAAGACTGGGGACCCTGCAGGAGCCCACAGAACGGACAGAGGACACCCGAGAGAGGCCACCTGCTGTGCCACACAGGCCCTTGACAGACCCAGAGGAGAAGACCGGGGAGCAGCCCTGGGTGGCCATGATCCTAGCAGAAGCAGGTCGCAGTTCAGCAAGGAGCCCAAGTTCTAGACTCTCAAGGCCTCTCTGGAGTGTTTATATACACTCTCCATGGGGTGTTGGCATGTTACTCTTGGGAAAGCCTATTCCTCTTCCAGAAAGCTAATCTCATTAGAATGTGATTTTTGCTACTCACCCAGAATTTCTTACCTTGTAAAAAAAAAAAAAAAATTTTTTTTTCAAATTTTGTTTGCTAAGTCAGGACTCTTCTCTGTTGTCATTTCCTAGCAGAATATGAATTTTATTGCCTCTTCAAAGTCTTTGCACCAGATCCCATAAACCGGGAGTGGCCTCACAAATGACATTTGTTTCCTGCTCTCTCCAGGTGCCCGCCCCTGAGCATCCTGGTCTGCTCACTTGTCACCCCCATCCACTTCTCGGTGCTCACAGGTGCTCACAGATGCCTGGGCCCCTGGGATGGTGAAAAGGGAGCAAAGGGAACTACGACTCATGGAGTTACTCTGGGCCAGATTCCTGGTTACTTTCTTTACATCTCATGACAGTCCTGGGAGGTGGCCAATCTGTCTCCATTTCACCAACATGGAAGCAGACATGCCATCCAACACAGCTCAAAATAAGCTTGCTCCAAGGTGAGCAGTGAATGACAGAGCCCGGAACTGAGAACAGGGCTCTCAGACCCCAAATCCTACACTCTTGTCCCACTGCTTCCCTCATATAACCAAGGGCAAATGCAGGCACCCAGAACTTAGGGACCGGAGACCTAGGACAGTGGAGGTCATCACCCTACCCTGCCTGCCTCACGCAAATATGAGGAGAGTCAAACAGAACAGAGTAAAAGTGTTTTGAAAGCCATTGGGCACCATAGATATATTGCTTACACAGGATGGTCTTTGATGCTGGTTTATGGCTGTGGACAGCAGAGGATCATGAGTGTGAGCCCTCAAAGGGGCTGCTCCCGGGGCAGTTTCCTTTGAGACCTGCAGGTCTCTGAACCTAGGAGAGTGGAGTTGGGATCCTGGGGCAGCCTACACAGATCCCCTGAGAGATACATCAATGCAGGTGACCAGAAAGTGTCAATGCAGACTCTTTGGACAGGGAAGGAGTAAGAACAAACGAAGCACTGCCAGGTAGTTAGCAACCTGGGAGGAGCACCTGAGAATTAACCACCACAGGTAAATTCCTTCTTCCACCTCCCAAAGTGGGATTTCCCAAGGCTCAGGCAACCTGCTCACTCTTCTCCCACACAGACTTGGTTTGCAAGACTGGCGTTTATGGAAGCATTCATGTGCTTCTGAAGGTGTAATTTAGCAACCTCTTAAAATGCTTTATAAGCTTCTCTCTGGTATTACTCAGGAGGACTGGCTGTGGTGCACACACCTCACCCAGTACAGTGGCCACTTCAACAGGATGCCTAAGAGCAGCTGGTCCTGCAGGTGAGAGTAGGGACATCAGGCCTCCAGAGCGCTGGCTGCCATGGGGCCAGTTCCTTACAGCAGCTGCATCTTCCCTGCTCTCCTGGCAGATGGGGCTGTGCCAGAGTTTCTCAACCTCAGCACTGTTGACATCATAGACTACATAATTCTTTGTGGTGGGGGCTTTCTTTGCATTGTAACATGTTGGCAGCATCCCTGGATTCCATCACCAGATGCCAGTAGCAACCTCCTTCCCCCAGTGGTGACAACCAAAAATGTCTTCAGACAGTACCAAATGTCCCCTGGGAAGCAAAACCAGCCTGGTTTTGAGAACCACTGGACCATCAGGACAGGGATGGGGCCTCTGACCAGACTCCTATAAACATCCCCCTTTCTTTTCTAGGAAAACTAGTACAGAATCTGGCTGTCACCATGGGGCCCACTCAGGCAAGTCTTTAAGGCACCCATGCTTCAATTTACCTCATTTGTGACACAACATGCTCATCCTCAGGGCAGCCCTTACTGGACCCCGGCACAGCTCTTCTCTGGGGCCTCTGACTGCCAGGCATCTCAAGTTAAAGTTCTCATTCTCTGAGGTCTTTAAACCCCTCCGCTGTGTAATCCCTATCTGAAGATGATTCTGGGTTTCTTTCAGGGCAAGGAAGGGGGCAGGTATCTGCTGCTCTGGCTGTTCCATCACTCTCAGCCTATGGATTGGGAGGCCCAACATGGGCCAGTGTCCAGGCAGGTGTCTTCCAGGCTATGAGGTGAGGTGCATACCTCCTCTGGAGCAAGTGACAAGCGGGCCAGAGAAGGGCCCTTGGTCACTCTTGGTCCCCTGCCTTTTCTCCATGTTGTGGACTGTGGACACAGGGAAGTATGGAGAGAGCCTTATGGAGGAATTCCTCTGCTTTCTTCCACCTGGAAGCCTGGACCATAACACGATGAAGTGAGGCCCACATGGAACAGATGCTCTACCTGCATAGGGAAGAGAACCCGGAACTCACAGAGCTGCTCATCTCCCAGCACAGCACCAGCCAGCTGCCCACCCGGCTCCCCATGGTGACCCAACCCTGGAGAAAATCCACCTGTTCTGTGTTAAGTAATGTTAAGTAAATCAGGAGTGCCCATTCATCCAGTTTTATTTCAAAATAGAGCCCTATTCTGAGACCATGCTTTCTAAAATTAATCTGAAATACACTGGGCTAAAGGTCAGGTGGTCAGGGGCCTGGATTCCAGGCCAAGCTTGACCCCAAACTCCCCAAGTGAGCCCATTCACTCGGGGCCGCAGAGCCCCAGTCTGAACAGGAAGGGCCTAAACAAAACAAGCTTGAGGCCCTTCCATCTCAGGCATTATACGATTTGAGGCCTACCTAGGCATTTCCTGTAGATGGGGCCAGAAGTCACCTGTGTCAGTCTGTGACTCATTCACTATCTGCCACAGCCACCATCCCTTCTTTGCGTCTGACCTATAGAAAAAAAGAATAAAGAAGAGTTACAGAGGCTCTGGCCCATGACGTAGAATTTTCTTTTCTTGTTATTTTGTTTCTGCAAACTCCCTCGGACCCCAGGTAGCCCTCTGCCTCTACACCTCCACACACAAAGAGCAATGGCTTGGGCTTCCTCCTGGCCTTCAATCATAAGCAGAGGCCACATTCCGGGGCTGTTCCCCAGAAGCCCCCATTCAGAGGTACAGTGTCACCAGGATATTAAGCGAACATCCCAGCTGAAATGACATCTCCGGCCAACTGAGCCAGGGACATGGCTTTGCAAAAGAAGGGGTTCAGATAGTGTCAGGCTGGACAGTGGGGCCCTGGGCCTGAATTCAGTCAGACCTTAGTTCAAGCTACTCAGTCACTCTGAGCCTCAGATTTCCTTAAGAGGCACTGCATTCACACAGGACTGTGAGAAGTAAATGGAAACATGCTTGATAAAAAGGAACTGGTGTCATGGATTTAAGAGATCAAAACTGCTCTTAGAACCCATCTAGTCTAGGGAACCACATCTGAGTGGCTCAGTGGTTTAAGCATCTCCCTTCAGCTTGATCCCAGGGTCCTGGGATGGAGTCCCACATAGGGCTCCCTGCTCAGTGGAAATCTACTTCTCCCTCTCCTTCTGCCCTTCCCCTACTTGTGCTCTCTTTCAAATAAATAAAAATTTTTAAAAAGGAACCCATCTAATGTAAGCCTCAGTAAAATGCTATGTCTAAGGGCACAAACCACTTGCCCTGGTTTCCTAGAATACTGGCCTAGTACAGCTGTGCAAGGAAAGATAGGGCCTCTGACCCTTATTCTAGCAGCTTCCAAAAGCCACCCCTACTTCCTGCTGGCACAAGTGCTGGTTTTAGGGCTACAGAGCTGATAGGATGCTCTCTGCCCACCATGGCTCCAGCTTCAGGGGCAAGGGGATAAGGTGAGATGCTGCTGCAGGAGCATAAAACACCCTGGCTTTTCCCAAGCCCATCTTGGAAGGCCACCAAATTCAAAATCAGCCACTGGGTTTGTGGGTCCTTCTTTGATAAAAAGAAATTTCCATTCTCTAATGAGCTTCCCTCTAAAAGCCAAGGTTCTCTGTAGGCAAAGACCCAAGAAATCAAGTCTGAGTCTCCTTCCCAGCGGATCAATCCCCTCAACACAGAAGGGACCAGGCACAGCCTGTCACAGTGTACCCAAGGAAGAAATCAGGGTCCCTCTTTCTTGCTTCTCGGGGCTGTGGTTAAAAGATGCCAGTCACCACCACCACAGAGTGTCCCAAAGGCATCAGAGGAAGCAGACAATGGGCCATGGGGCAGCTAGGTCACCTACAAATGGGCACCAAAAGGAACAAGATCATTCCAGAAGCACAAAGTCTCTCTCTCTCTCTCTCTCTCTCTCTCTCTCTCTCTCTCAGAGTGGACTGCTGGCTTAGGCTTGAACTTCCTGGTTTTCCCCTCATACCTATTTGATCTCTGACGCCCATACACACAGGTCCTGCAGAATTTCCCACTATAAGATAAGGCATCTAAGAAACACTGATCCCAGGAATGCCTGGCTGGCTCAGTTAGAAGAGTGTGTGACTCTTGACCTCCGGGTCATGTGTTTGAGCCCCATATTGGGTGTAGAGATTACTTAAATAAATAAAAACTTTTTAAAAATTAAATAAAAATAAGTTTTAAAAAGAGAAATGCCAAGTCTTCAACCCCTTAGACCCTATCCAACACCCACCCGCCCGAAAACAGGGACACCTACACTGACCTTCATTTCTTCCCCCACACAACTGCTTTTTCCATTTATTCAAGCAACAAGGCCCCTCCCAGAAAAGCATGGTTACTATATATTCTGTGTCCATTAACCACATCAAAAACTCGTGCCAAATCTGCTGCCAGCTGTTAGGTTCTAGTCCAGACATGCAGTCACAGGTACATCAAGTTGAAGGAAGCGTTATGGGAGGGGGAAAAACTTCAATTAAGACATTTTGAGCCACCAATTTGGTTTGTTAAAAAAATCAGAGAAAGGTCTCCCTTCCTTAGTCTTGATGATCAGAGACTCAGAGCTATTACCAGACCTGCTAAGGATAGGATTGCCAGATGTAGCAAATAAAAATCCACACAATATTGGGACATACGTGTACCAAAAATTATTCATTGTCTATCTGCAATTCCAAAGTAACTGGGCAGGGCTGCCATCTTAGCCCTCAGAGGCAACAGTGAGCAGGACCCTGACATACCCTGCTAGGCTGTCCTCTCTCTTGTCCTGGCCACCTCAGTGAGGCCTTCCTGACCTTCCTCATAGCAGCTTCCTTGAGCAACATGACTCAGATCTTCTTAGGCAAGATTTGACAGGTCCCTCCATGCTCATTTCCACTCCCCCAGCTTGGTCCAAGCCTACACCTACCCCCTGCTGTTGCCAGCCCTCACCAGGGTTAGGACAGTCTAGACACACACTAAGTGACCAAGGGGATCTTTCCCCACTCCTTGGCTGCCCCTCTACAGGCCCCAGAGCCTGTGCTCAGGGGCCTCAGAAGAGCTGATGAGTAGGCCATTGCCCTGATCTGTGGCTCCTTCTGAGTCTCCAGGGCTCTACAAGTCTCCTGGGGATGTGGTTTCTTCATGGCCCTGAATCCCCAATGGGCCTGGACCTCACCCAGATTAGGCCTTGAAACTCCTACTTCACCAGAACTAGAACTCTCCTCATTTCCCTCAACATACAAAGGTACTTTCTTTCTCCCCATGGGGGTATAATTTCAGCAATTGCCCAGGCCTTCGGGATTCTTTCTAAACTGCTGTGCCCTCGAGGGAGGCCCAGAGAGCCACCCTGACCCCAATCTTCAGCCATACCTCTCCGGTCTCTCTCACCAGGCTCTGCCTCCTGCAGCCCAGGGCCCACGTCCCACCTAGAGCCAGCTCCTCCTGCACACCTGTGTCAGCTGACAGCTCCATCTGAAAGAGTCCAGGGCCTCCTGCTCAGATGCACTCGGCCCCTGACTCCCCCCACCCAGCTTTTATGGAAATTTCCAGAGCTGTCAGTGCTCTCCCTGATGTGCCTAGAGAACCTGTGGTTTGTGGGAGATGCACAGCCAAGCCCACTGGGAGAAAGAAGCAGTACCTCAGTCTCCTGCGTCCCCTTGATTTAGGTACCACTTAACCGAACTACAAAGCAAATTTCCCAAACACCCAGTTTAATTGGATTCCATCGTCCACATTTACGGGGCCTGGTGTGCACTTGGTCTCAGTGCCTCCTACTCACAACAGCGTGTCTGCAAACCAGACTGTGGGCTCCGGGTTGTAATTAACTGCTTTCTACTGTGGAGTCCACTTTCAAACCAGTCTGAGATCCTTGGATGAAAGAAGCCACAGAGTCGTAATGGCTGGTCTTAAAACTGGCCCAGAAAACTGGATGCCAGCTCCTTGCCAGCTGCCCCCTATTTCCATCCCCAGCAGGTGCCTGTATGGGTCTCAGCAGCCACCCACCAACCTGATCCCTCCCAACTTCTGCAGGAGGATGGAGTCTCATGTGTGCAGAACCGCCCAGAGGAACAGCTCAAAGGGAGGCCTCCCCTATACCCTGCTCCACTCCAGCCACTAACAGTCCCAGGAACACCATCCGACAGGGGGCAGGGCCCTGGGCAGCCCTGAGATGCCCTGACCCAGGCAGGGAGACAAGAAGCTCCAGCGGCTGACCTGGGAAAGATGGAGCTGAGCATATTCACACATCATTAACCACTGTGGAGGCCGAGAAAATTAAGGCCATTCCACCTCAAGTTTAGCATTAGCACAAGTACAGCGATCTTAGGGCCCTGTGAATAAGAGCTGAACTTTACAGGAAAAACTGCAGAATGTCCTTGACAGGAAATCCCATATCAGAAAGACAACAGAGCTCAGAATGCCCTCGGCAGAGAATCCCATATCAGATCTTAAGAAACTCCCCCACCCTTTCCCCCATACTGGAATGGAAAAAATTCCTCCACCCCTTCTGAAAATCCCCTAGACCAGCTCATAAAAAACCCAGCTGTAACGTATTTCGGGGTCCAAGCTCCTGCTCTGCTGTGTGGTTTACTTGGACCCAAGCTCGAGCTTGTAAATAAACCCTCGTGTGTTTGCATCGGTGTCGGCTCCTTGGTGGTTTCTCGGATTCGCAATCTTGGGCCCAACACCACAGCCTTCCCGTGACAGTCCTTCCTTCTCTTCCCTTGGGACAGACCATGATATTTCCCCCTCCCAGAAAGCCCCAGGCACCCTTCATCTCACACTCTGGGTCTTTCATGGACTCTCAAAGGTTGCCACCCAAAACAGAGACAACAGGCACCCAAGGAGTCTCAGGGGTACAGTCCTACCCTCAGCCGTGCCCTGCTCTCCAGAGTGCCCAGCAGCCCAACGCGAGGCTGGGGACTGGCCAGGGCCTCATGTTGAGACCACCCCCAGTAGGATCCGGTCTAGGGCTCTGTCCCTCCACCCTGGGTCCCCGCAGGTGGCCTGGGAGGAACAGATCTGCTTCCTGGAGTGAGCCTGCCCCCTGCAGGGCCCAGGCAGGCCATGCAACGCCATCTGGCAGGGCAGAAGTTCGCTGCCGCATCCAGGGGGTGGAGCCTGAGGGAGAGGGAGGCACCTTTTGCTGCAGGTAAGGAGCTAGGTGACCGGGAGCAGCCGGGAGTCACAGAGGCGACACAGCAATTGGCCTCGCTTGCGCAGCACCTACCATGTGGAGGCGCTTGCCTCCCGAGTCTGACTAGCTCTGCGGCACTCGGACACCACAGGAACATTCCCAGGAATAGCCCCAACCCTAAGCACTGGGGCTTAGGAAAGAGCCTCATTTCTTTCCCTAGATTCCCAGGGCTGAACGCTTGATTTTGTTTTGGGTTTTTTTGTTTTGTTTGTTTTTTAAAAGTTTTTATTTATCTACTCATGAGAGACACACACAGAGAGGCAGAGACACAGGCAGAGGGAGAAGCAGGCTCCCTGCGGGGATCCCGATGCAGGACTTGATCCCAGCACCTCGGGGTCACAGCCCCAAGCCAAAGGCAGACGCTCAACCGCTGAGCCATCCAGACATCCATGAACGCTTACCTTTGACAGAAGGCCGACCACAGTCTTGGAAAGCACCTTGGAACATGGATCCCCGCTCTCACGGTAGGCAGCCCACTTCACCAGTCTGGGCCTCAGTCTTCAGATGTGTAAAATGAGCACAATGGTGCCAACTCATGGACTTGTTACCAAGATGAAATAAAGAAGGAAAGGGAGCTCTGTAAAGAGTCAAGTGCTAGACACATTGTTCCTTTCCCCCTTTATTTTCATCCCTTCTGTGTTGGCATTTCTTGCCTTCACATGTCCTCAGTGGCCATCACAACATAGAGACTAGCCAGAGGCTCATAGCCGCAGCCCTGGGAAGCTGGGGTGTGAGCCTGGGGTGGACGTGGGCACCTAGCCAACAGGGGAAGGAAATAGGGACCCAGCAGTCCTGATAAATCTGCCCTCCCTCACATGGCCACCCCCTACAGATGACAGGGGAGGAAACTGAATCCCAGGTGAAAAGTCCCACCCCTCAGACAGCGTCACTGAGGTGACCATACGCTTCCAGTTCTGGAAGGCTCCTGGTTGGCTTGCAGAGCCCCTCCTGGGCTTCCCTCCTGGCTTCCTGGAGACTCCCAATAGGGCCACAGAGGTGCTTATATGGAGTCCAGCTTCTCAGCATCATCCCCGGGCTGGGTGAAAGGGCCCCAGGCCAGAGCCCCCACCAGGCCCAGGGGTCAGCTCACTGCTCCCCATGGACCACTCACCTCAAACCCCACCAGGCTCATCAACACAAGCTCAGAAAAGGAACGGGCTGCCCCCTAAAGAGCCTTGGCCTGGGTCTCATGGGGAGGGGCTGCTCCCAACCCAGCCAGCCTGGGATATGGATGGACCCCAGGGGCCCTTGGAACAGCTACAAGTTTCAGCTTTGAGGAGCTCCTCTGGCCCTGGCCCCTCCCTCAGCCTGGGGACACCCCTTCTCTTGGCACTCTCAGTGGAATGTGCTTCCTTACCTCTTTCATCCCCACAACTCATCTCTATCTGCTCTCTCATCCTCCATCCAGCACGTTTATTGGGCTCCTAGAATATTCGGGGTATGGATGAGGAGGACTACAAAACTGTGCCTGCTCTGAAAGAACTCACAGTTAGGGAAGAGAGTCAGAAAGCTCTCGTTTACTGAGCACTTACTATGTGCCGGAGACTGCCCTCACCACCTGACTTTCATACCCTCCAAGGGAGGTAGCATTGGGTGGGTGAGGAAAGCGAGTCCACAAAATAAGTCTCTTGGCCAGGGTTATGAACAAAGCATGTGGCAGAGCCGGGACACGCAGAAGGGGGCTGTTGCTCCAGAGCCTGTGGCCCTTATGCCCTGCTCTCCAATAATTGCTGTGATGGTCATCAATATACAGGGATGCTGGGGACACTGGAGACCTTGGTAACAGATGGAGAATGCTGGGAGTGGTGGGGGATGACCAGAGAAGGTGTAGCATGAGCTGAGCTTCAAAGGTTGCAATCGCTTATTGTTGGGGGTGCCTCCTCCCTCTGCAGGGCAATCAGTCCATGGACTCCTTGAAGACAGTCACCACCTTTTGCCCTTCTGTCCAGGCCCCCATACAGTGCCTGTACACAGCAGGCACTCAATAAACAACTGCTGACCAAACCGAGTCATAGACAGGTACAAAGTTTTAGGGAGGGGAGGCCAGGTCCTGTTTCTCTCTGGTGCCTGAGCTCCTAGCATGGTTCTGGACATGTGAGCTAGAACCCAGCCCCACCTGGTCTGCCACACGGGAGAGACATCTGGAACCACCTGGCTTCGTCAGCTGGGTGGGCCATGTCTGAGTGATCCTTGTGGGACTAAGCCAACCACCTGAGCCCGCAGCAGACTGGGGATTGGAGGAGGAGGAAGAAGACAGAGAACGAGGGAAATAAACTATGCAAGGGTCTGGGGAGGGGAAGAGAGGGAAAATAAGGAGGGGGCAGAGAGCCCATCTATGTTCCAGCCTAAACCCCATGACAGAAACTAGATGGCATCTGACAGACACTGCCCAGTCATCCATCCACCTGTCCCTCCAGTAAGCAGGACGGAGCCCCGGCAGTAGGCTGGCCCTGACATGCAAAGACAGCCCCTCCCCTCCAAGCATATGGTCAACGCTGTGCAGGTATGGACCTGCACACACCTGAACACACCCCGCACTATCCAGGGGCCACAGAGAAGGGGGTGTTCATCTCAGCCTGAAGGTTGAATAAAAACCTGGTAGTCTCCCACAACAAAATGTTGCAAGTGCAGAGAGAAAGAGGGGAGGAAGGGCACATCACACTGCGGTCACTCATTGAATACGAGCCTGAGGTTCTCAGCCACAGGGCTGGGTCACCGAGAGCTGTTTGCAGTGGCAGGACCCCAGGGTGTGAGAGGAGGCGGTTATAAAATTCAGGGTTGGTGAAAGACCTAAAAGTGAGACAGGAGTCCATCAAAATCCTAGAGGAGAACCCAGGCAGCAACCTCTGTGACCTCGGCCACAGCAACTTCTCGCTAGATACGTCTCCAAAGGCCAGGGAAACAAAGGCAAAAATGAACTATTGGGACTTCATCAAGATAAAAAGCTTCTGAAAAAAAAAGATAAAAAGCTTCTGCACAGCAAAGGAAACAGTCAATAAAACCAAAATGCAACCCACAGAATGGGAGAAGATATTTGCAAATGACGTATCAGATAAAGGGCAGGTATCCAAAATCTATAAAGAACTTATCAAACTTGGGACACCTGGGTGGCTCAGCAGTTGGGGCACCTGCCTTCGGCCCAGGCGTGATCCTGGAGTCCCGGGATCGAATCCCACATCGGGCTCCCTTGCGTGGAGCCTGCTTCTCCCTCTGCCTATGTCTCTGGCTCTCTCTTTGGTCTCTCTCATGAATAAATAAATAAAATATTTATTTAAAAAAAGAACTTATCAAAGTTAACACCCAAAAAACAAATGATACAGTCAAAAAATGGGCAGAAGACATGAACAGACATTTCTCCAAAGAAGACATACAGGAGCACGAGTGGTTCAGTGGGTTGAGCATCTACCTTTGGCTCAGGTCATGATCCCAGCGTCTGAGGCTCAAGTCCACACTGGGCTCCCTGCTCAACAAAGAGTCTGCTTCTCCCTCTCCTTCCTGCTCATGCTCTCTGTTGCTTTCTCTGTCTCTCTCTCTCTCAAATAAATTTTTTAAATCTTTTTTTAAAAAGAAGACATACAAATGGCCAACAGACCAATGAAAAAAATGCTCAACATCACATGGCATCAGAGAAATACAAATCAACACCACAATGAGATACCATCTGACACCAGTCAGAATGGCTAAAATTAACAAATTAGAAAATGACAGATGTTGGCGAGGATGCAGAGAAAGGAGACCCCTCTTACACTGTTGGCAAGAATGCAAGCTGATGCAGCCGCTCTGGAAAACAATATGGAAGTTCCTCAAAAAGTTGAAAACAGAGCTACCCTACAACCTAGCAATTGCACTGCTAGGTATTTACCCCAAATATACAAATGTAGTGACCCGAAGAGGCACCTACACACCAACGTTTATAGCAGCAATGTCCACAATAGCCAAGTTAAGGAAAGAGCCCAGATGTTCATCGACAGATGAATGGATAAAGAAGATGTGATACACAGACACAGACACCACACAGTGGACTACTACTCAGCCATCAAAAAAAAATGAAATCTTGCCGTTTGCAATGATGTGGATGGAACTAGAGGATATTATGCTGAGCAAAATAAGTCAATCAGAGAAAGATGAGTATCATACAATCTCACTCATATGTGGAATTGAAGAAAGGAAACAGAGGGTCATAGGGGAAGGGAGAGAAAAATAAAACAAGACAAAATCAGAAAGGGATGCAAACCCTAAGAAACTCTTAATCATAGGAAACAGGATTGCTGAAGGGGAGGGGGGTGGAAGGATGGGGTAACTGGGTGATGGGCATTAAGGAGGGCACATAATGTAATGAGCACTGGGTGTTATATAAGACTGATGAGTCACTGACCTCTACCTCTGAAACCAATAATACATTAATGTTAATTCATTGAATTTAAATAAAATCTTTTTAAAAAAGAATTCAGGGTTGGAGAGAGGCAGGAAGGTGGCCTCTCTGCCAGGGAGGCATTGGTGTTTTCCTCAGTGGCCAGGGGCAGCAATGGAAGTATCACTAAGCCAGGAGAAAGAATTTCCATTTCCAGCAATCGTCCCCACTGGACTGTGGAGCAAGGATGCAGGCAGGAGAAGCTCAAACTGGAGGCAGGGAGGCCAAGGAGGCTGTGAGGACATTATAGCTAACAGCATCCGCAGGATGGGCTTTGGAGGGAGAGAGGAGGCCAAGGTAACTCGTTGGGCTCCTGGCTTGGGTTTCCAGGTCCTCTGGGGTGAGGCACCAGGAAAAGCTGGTGGAATGAGGGGTGCTCCTTCCAACAAGCAGTTTTGAGGAGGCAATGACCAGTGCAGTTGGGCATGAGAGTCTGGCAATAGGAGAGGAGCCTCACTGGAGTGTCATCAGCATGTATTGGCAATTGTGACTACAGATATGACCCAGATGGGCCAAGGGGAAAATGAAAAGGAGAAAGAGAAGTGTACCTGTGCCAGAATCCGGAGGACCAGCCTCCATGTAAGGACGGAGCCAAGCAAGAGGAGGCTGCAAGTCTGAGCTGGGACATCGAGAGAGTCAGGGGGCACAGGGGTGCAGAGGGGAATTGGGAAGGAAGGTCAGCCCAAATTAAGGCCACTCATCAAGTCATGCGGCTGATTCATTGAGTGAGCTGGAATGACAGGACCTTGGGGGTGTCCAGGGGGTTGGGAGGAAGTGTAGGTCTGGAAGTCCACCAGCTTAAAAGGAAAGGCTCTAGGGCACCTGGGTGGCTCAGTCGGTTAAGGATCTGCCTTCAGCTCAGGTCAAGATCCTGGGGTCCTGGGATCAAGCCCCATGTGGGAGCTCTCTGCTCAACAAGGAGCCTGCTTCTCCTCTCCCTCTGTTCTTCCCCTCACTCATATTCTCTCTCTCTCTCTCTCTCTCTCTCTCTCTCTCTCTCTCTCTCTCCTCTTTCTCTCTCTCTCAAACAAATAATCTGGAAACAAATTCAAGGGCTCTGCAGAAAACAGGAAGGCAGCAAGTTGGGCTAATTGTCAGCCCTGCACTGGCCCTTTGAAGCCTGCCCCAGATGCCCCCTGCATCTCCCCAACACCTGACTCTCCTAGAACCCCGTTGCTGCCTTATATCCTACAGAGTGCTGAGCTGGCTCATATGCCCCCCCCATGTCTCCAGTTTGCCCCATTTGTCCATGTTTGTTGAACACCATCATCCATGAGACACCCATCTCCCCCGTTTGTGCCCTGATGGTTGGTCCAGGTGACTTGTGTCCTTCCCAGCTGGGAGCTCCCTGGGCCAGACCTTGTCAGGGTGAGTCTCATGGCCCAACAGCACCCATTCACCCACCGCCCCAAATCAGGGCCTTGGCAGGTGCTACCCTCAGAAACCAGGCCAGAATCAAAAATACATTTGCAAAAAGGCAGGAAACTTTATTGGATTAACTTTTCTCTTTAGTAGAGAAGCTGAGAAATCAGAGTAGCCAGTTGAGGGAGAAGAGGAAGCACACCAGGAGAGAAGCATGAAGGCCTGCCCTCTGGATAATGCAAGGCAGGGGGGCCTAGAGCAGGAGTGACTGAGCATCCTGTGGTCTCTCCTTCTCTCCTACAGGGACCCATCAGCTCTCTCCCCTGGATGCTGAGGACAGAGGGAGAGGAAGCCCGGTGGATCTAAGGCCTGCGGGTGTCTGAAGTACGGCTGGAAGAGGTGGTGGTGATGGAGACGCTGGTGCTTCCTGAGAAATAGAGGGAGCAAGAGATGCTCAGGCTGGAGAAGACCCACCTCAGCATGTCAGACATCCCACTCCCAGAAAGGCCCTAAGCCCCTCCATGGGTCAGGTTAGAAGTTAGTTAGTAGGGACTCTCATGTTACTATTCCCAAAACTGGCTCTCTCCAAAGTATCCCCGTGGCTCTATGGGGCAGAGCCAGCTATTTTGAAAAGAAAACAGAGGAGCAAATGACCACCTCCACCATAGCCCCCTAGGGCAGTGAACAGGTGCCGGACTCTCCTCTCCCCCTCCAGGGTTGTTTCCTTACCTCCTGAGGAAGTTAAGCCAGCCATCCTGGGAGAAAGAAGAAAGGTCACATGAGCAAAAGGCACCTGAAGACAGCTGCTCACCTGTCCTCAGATGGAATGGCTCAGATCATTCAGAGCGCCTGAGCTGGGCTTTTATTGACAAACTGAGCCCCCAGCCCAAAGGGCAGCAGCTGTTGCCCACCAGGCCTGCCTGCTGTCTGCCTGACTGTGAAACCTCAGGAGGAGATATTACTGGCCCCAAATCCAGGACATTTGCCAGAAGTTTAGTCCTCTTTCGGGTCTATTTGGTACCACTACCACCCCCCAGCACTCACCCTGAGCTCACAAGGATCGCCTGATCCCTGCAAATGGTCTGAAGGCAGTTAAATCACCACATTTATAGCTTTGTTCAGCTGACCTGAACCCAAGGTAAAAATTTTCCAATATGAGATGTTCTGTGCATGGCCTCTACTCTTGCCAGTCTAATCCAAAGGCCCAAACTAGAAAGTTTAAAGGTACTGCCCCGCAGCCTGCTGAGGAAATGCCCCCACTGATTCTAGAAAACAGGGAGTTTTGGTCCTGGATCTTCATCCAATCCATTGAAGTTCAGAAGGTTCCCTTTCATGCAGGCCATGAGGACCTAAGGCCCTGCCAGCTTGGATGTCCAGGGGTCCTGTGGTCACCTTCCCAAGAGAGACTTGAGAGGACCTACCGGGCATCCTGGCCCTCCAGCAGGCTGCGGTAGGTGGCGATCTCCTGCTCCAGCCGCGTCTTGATGTCCAGCAGCATCTTGTACTCCTGGTTCTGGCACTCCATTTCGCTGCGGAGCTCACTCAGCTGGGCCTCGATGCTGCTAATGAGCCCCTGGATCTGCTGTAGCTGCAGTGCATAGCGGCACTCCGTATCCGCCAGCGTGCTCTCCAGCCCGGCTTTCTGGTGGGACAACAAAGAAGTGATGAGGGGAGCCAGGACAGCCAGAGAGGGCAAGAGGTGGCAGCCACAGGGCAGGGGGCAGCAGGTGTACCATGCTGAGCTGGGACTGCAGCTCGATCTCCAGGCCCTGGAGCGTACGCCTGAGCTCCGTGATCTCTGTCTTGCTGGTCTGAATCATGGCAGTGTTAGTAGACACCTCCTTGTTCAGCTCTGCACTCTGAAATTAGAGCAGGAAGAAGGTTAGAGAGGATCCCAAAGGGACGCCCCGGCATCCCCCAGCTCCACAAAGTAAGAAGGCAGGGTACCTTGCTGTGGAACCATTCCTCGGCGTCCCGTCGGTTCTTCTCCGCCATGGCCTCGTACTGCTCCCTCATCTCCGCCAGCACACGGGTCAGGTCAATGCCCGGGGTGGCATCCATCTCCACGTTGACCTGGCCTACCATCTGGTTGCTGAACTCCTTCATCTCCTATAGGGATGGAAGTAGGAGATGTGTGAAGCTCCTCATCCCCCCTCTTCTTGGCTCTGAGGGCTACCAGGATGTGCTGAGAAGCGCTTCCAGGTCCCACAGCAGAGAGCTAAATCTGGCTGCTCCCCTTTATCACTGGAAGCGTTTCAGCCTTGGAAGTCCCCTGCCAGCCCTCACCTCCTCATGGTTCTTCTTCAGGTAGGCTAGTTCCTCATTCAGGCTCTCAATCTGCATCTCCAGATCGGTCTTGGACAGGGTCAGCTCGTCCAGCACCCGGCGCAGGCCATTGATGTCAGCCTCCACGCTCTGGCGCAGGGTCAGCTCGTTCTCATACCTAAAGGATATTTTTTAATTGGAAAAGCAACACAGAAATTATATTAGACACTCCCCTACTTCTGCACTGGACTCCCTACTTCTCCAAGACCTTCACTCCTGGGACGCTCCGATTTCACCCTTGAGATGAGCATTTGTCTCAAATAAAAGAGTTTGAAAAGGCCAGCGAGGAAAATGAACTCACTTGAGCCTGAAGTCGTCTGCCGCCAGCCTGGCGTTGTCGATCTCCAGAATGACCCGGTTATTGTCGATGGTGGCCGCCAGGATCTGCAAAATACAGAAGGTGAGCACTGGAGGGTCCACGAGCTTGGGGAGGAGGAAGAGAAAACACAGGCAAGACTGTTGTCCAAAACTGCCTCAGCACCTGTCCCTGTGAGCTGGGATAAGGCCCTTCTCTCTGGGCCCTGGTAACGTGAGGGGCGGGGCAGGTCCTTCCTCGGGCTCTATCACTCGAGCATTCTGTGTCCGGCCGTGATGGGGAAGGTGGGAATGTACATTTCAGAGGAATGACCCTGCCCAGGGTATCTTTGGTTAGTCATGTCTTGAAAGCCTCAGACTAGCCATCTCTCTAGTTTATCATCATGACAGCCTATTCCTTAAGGGGGGGGGGGGTCAGCCTGGGTCCACACAGCTCATAGTAGGCTCACTGGAGCTGGCCTCCGGGCTGAGCAGAAGGAAGAGCCAATACATATTCCCATCCATTTGAATTTCTTGTCTAAACTCTCATATTCTGAAGCGGTTAAAATCTACCGCACATAGCTGGGACCCAGCCCAGGCAGGTGGATTTCTGTTCCAACAAGCTGGGACCCCAGTGTGACAGACAAGCCGTGATGAAGGAATCTCAGCTCCGCTTAACCTAGCCTAAGCCTCTGCCTCCACCTCCCACACCTCACAGCCACTTGAAAATAACAGTGTGAATGGGGCCCCTACAAAAGCAACTAGTATTCCCAGACCAATGAGTGAACACATATCCCTTTCTCTGACGATTTTAGTCATGGTTTCCAAACCGCTCAGTGGGTTGGAATTATAGGGATCAAGTCGTTAATAACATAACTGTTTGGAAAGCAGTAAAAATGTTGATATGAGTAATAACAGCAGTAAAAATGGACAATGGGAAAGAACGCATTTGGGGAGCGGTGGCATAAGAAAGCTTATCGGGAGTAGAGACGCTCAGTAGTAAAAGACTAGAATTTTCCTCCACAGGCGAGGTGAGGATCCCACCACACAATGTCCTCTGGTCCTGTGGGATACCGTGTTCCCTGGCCTCTGCAGCTCTGCCCAGCTTGGAAGAAAGCTCGCCAACATCCAAGGGCTCACCTTGTCCCGGAGCTCCTCGATGGTCTTGTAGTAGGGGCTGTAGTCCCGCTCCGGGCTGCTGGGGCTCTGCTTCAGGTGCCAGTCTCGGATCTTCACCTCCAGCTCGGTGTTGGCCTCCTCCAGGGCGCGCACCTTGTCCAGGTAGGAGGCCAGGCGGTCGTTGAGGTTCTGCATGGTGATCTTCTCATTGCCAGAGAGGAGGCCACCATCGCCACCACCGTAGTCACCAAAGCCGCCGCCAAAACCCCCACCGAAGCCACCTCCGAAGCCACCTCCGAAGCCTCCGCCAAAACCACTACCAGCCCCTCCACCGAAGCCACCCCCAAAACCACTACCAGCACCCCCACCGAAGCCACAGCTCATGCCACCCCCGTATCCCCCAGCTGATCCCCCAGAGACAAAGCGGGTTGAGCAAGTAGAGATACTGCGGCCTCCCCCCAGCTGACAAGAGCCACCCCCGAAACCACCTCCATAGCTGGCAGAGGAGCTCTGCAGGCGACAGCTCATGGTGAGAGCAAGATGAGGAGCAGGTGTGGACGGGAGCTGGGCTTGGCCTGGGCCGAAGACTGTGGCTCTTCCCCAGAGTGGGAGCCTTTTATACTGCCCTCCACAAGGTTGGACAATTGCCCCATCTTCTCTCCTCCCTTCCCCACCCTCTGACTGGTGCCAACCGCACTTCTGTTTCCCACAAGCCCAGTTACCTCTGCTCTCCAAGGTGGGTTGTGCCTTTGGGGGTGGCTGCTTTTTTTTTTTTAATCCTTAACAAAAGGGATGATTCAGAGGGAACAGTGCTCTGCCTGAGACTACCCTTTTGACAGCTGAATTCCATTTCACGTCTGCACTTAGGGAGCTCACTCCACAGGCTCTCAGCTCCACCCCGCACTAGAATGGGGACGGAGCTGCAAGGTGGCCCTGTGCTTTACAAAGTCACCGCAGCCCTCAGCTCCCTTCTTTCTATTTCTAAAACTTCGGACTAGAATGTTCTGCATCCTTGTTAGCATTTCACCTACTCCAGTGCTCCCAGCAACTATGATGACGAACTTTGCTTGGTCCTATAGGATCGACTACCTTGAAGGTATTTAGGCTGGGGGAAAAAAAAGCTCCAGGACTAATGTAGATCCTACTAGCCGCCCCATTTTACACACGGGAAGTCGAGACTTTAAGGGTAGTCAGGACTGAAAAACCCAAGTCTAGTTCTATCTGATACAAAGGTTCCTTTTTGAAGGTATATAATTCATGCAGTAGATTGCACAAACCATTAGTGTCTAGCTTAACACATTTTTACCTATGTAGGAAGCTTCAAGCATGTGTTCACCTGTGTACCCTTCACCCGGACCATTTTCAGCGCTCCATAAAGCTCCCCATACCTTTTCCCAGTCAATTACCCACACCCTATGCACCTAATGAGACCACAATCCCACTTCTGTCCCCATCAATTAATTCAGAGATCTCAGCGAGAGGCTCTTTTGCTCCCTGGAGAACATTTGACAATGTCCGCAGACATTTCAGTCGTCCGAACACGAGGATTCTACTGGTATCTAGAGCACAATTACCAGGAATGCTGCTAAATATCCTACAATGCAGAGGACAGCCCCCATAACAAAGAATCCTCCAGCCCAAAAGGTCAATAGTGTGTGTCGAGGTTGAGAAGCCCTGGATCAGTCTGACCTCTGTGTTCAATCATACCATCATACCAACTGCCTTAGAGGCAGAGTCAAATCCAGAAAGAAAGTCTTTTTTTAGATTTTTTTTCTTTATTTATTTATTCATGAGAGACACACAGAGAGACACAGAGACACAGGCAGAGGGAGAAGCAGCGCTCCAAAGGGACTCTGATGCTGGACTCGATCCCAAAACCCCAGACCACACTCTGAGCTGAAGGCAGGTGTCCCTGGAAAGGAAGTCTTATAATGCCTAACAGGTCTCTTTCTAGAACCCTGGTCACAGGACACCTGTCTCAGCTTGTGAGCATGTGATCAAGAGGCCATATAGGAGGATGCAACCCACTCACCGAGGGGGCCAGGGTTACCATGGGTGGCCTCTAAGGGAAAGCCTGCTGGCCTACAGCAGCCATGGGGTCTGGACCAGGCTAAGGGCTAGGGTGGGGTAACCCAGGCTCCAGGTTATCCTAAAAACCCCTTCGCTGACTCAGCAAGCCAGAAAAGAGGGCGCTGAGTCAGGGTTATCCTGCCCTTTGTTTTCTTTGGGTAGGGAAGCGGACCTGTGCTTCACCCAGGGGGGTGTCAACACTAGGGAGAGAGCCAGGGCGTGTTTGGGGTCTCACGGGGCGGCCAGGGGTTCAGGCTGACCTCTGACCCTGCCCAGCCCTCCTGCCCCAAACTAATAGCTCAGCATTCTCGCCTGCTCTCTGAAAAGCTGTGTGATTCAGCCAAAGCAGGAGCTCTTAGGCTCTCTTCTCTCTCTCAGTAGAGGATCAAAACTGACAAGAAGGTGATTAATAGAACCTGCCAGGCCTGGAGTGATGATCCTCCCTCCAAGGGCTAACAGCAGGTTCAGGCCAACGCCTCATAGAGGAACAATGCCACAGATCCTCCAAAGTCCCTGTAGTACAAACACAGGGTGGCCGTGACATGCCTCCCCTTGCAGGGTCAGGGCACGGCCCCTCCCCGCCACTCCCCTCCCGGGCAGGTACTTATGGTGCCTTGACACAGGAATGCCTTCCTCTGACCCATGATGAACCCCAAGGCCCTCCCGGAGGAAGCTGGGCAGAGACCCATCCTGGGGCCCCAGTTTCGCCTCTCTCGGCCCTGCTCCTCCTGATGAGGCAGGATGGAGTGCCGGGGCTGAGGCACTCCTGCTCAAGGTCTTCAGCTTCCTTCTTTGCTTTCTGACAAAACCACACTGATTTCAGTAAGGGGAGGGAAAGCTGCATTTGTGAACAGCCCCCCTCAACCCCCACCCCCACCACCCTTCACACACTGTCACTGAGTCCGCACAACAACGGGAGAGGGTTTTTCTTGGCCCCATTTTGTAGATGAGATAGCTGAAGCCCAGGGAGCCCATGTTACTTGTTCAAGATCACCATGAACTCAAGATTTAAACCTCGTCTCTGGCTCTCTCTACCCCAACTCATGCTGTGAACTCAGTATATAATCCCTTAGCATTCCATTCTGTATTCCTTAAAGATAATAAAATAACACTAGCTAACATTTCTTGAACTCTCTGTTAAACACTCTACTGTTTTTGTCATGCACTTGGGGACACAGAGGCCTAGAAAGGTTGAATTCGTTGCCCAAGCTTCCAACCTCCAGCTCCAGGGTCTGTGCTCTTTGCTACTACCCACTAAAGCCCCTTCAGGCCATCGTCAAGGCCACCCCGCCCAAGCATGGGCGTCCTCAGTTGCCCTGTGCACTCCCAAGCTCCCTGTCACTGCAGGCCCAGTGGGCAGATGGTCCTGGTTCCCACAGCTGCTGGGCCTGTACAGCTGATGGCCTGACAGGTCAGCCTATCTGCTGTCTGTCCTGGTGTGGGCCCCAAAACTCGGGGGTTTGCAAGGTGCTCAATGCAGAATGTCAAAGCCAGAGTCGTCATAGGAATTTTCCCATCCAAAGTCCTCATTTCACACGTGGCGAACATGAGACTCAGAATGCCAAGGCCCAAGGCAATGGAGGCAAAAAGAAATTCGTGGCTTTCCAGCTCCCCACAAACTCATGGACCTTATGTTACATGACTTCTAAGTTTCCTTCAGCAAAATGCCTTTCTGAGTCTCTGATTCTCAAGGATTTGTACAGCGTTGCCAGATTGTTCATGTGCACAGAGGCTTAAATCCTGTGCCGCAGCTCCTAATTTGGGGATCCTCGCTTGGCTCTCGGATCAGGCTCTTTCCTTCTTCTCTCTTTCCCTAGACCATACAGGGCCTGGAGCCCAGGATGGCTGAGCACCCCCTTGAAAACATCTTGAGGCTCTCACATGGGGAAGGAGCCTCTCAGGAAAAGCAGACCTTCCCCAGGCAGTGAGCCTGGGTCATCTGGTCAGCCCCCCTTGCCCTCAGAGACATTTGTTTCACATAGCAGTATTCAGGAGCTTTCTCCAGATTTGACAGGCAGAAAGTTGCTTCGGACAGAGGTTAAGAAAGGGATTTCATATGTTGGCAAATCGAACTCCAATAAAAAAAATATACCAAAAAAAAAAAAAAGGATTTCAGATTAACACACGTCTTAAGAAAGGTGTTGTCAGTTTCTACCACGCTCATGACATCAAGGGAAAAGTAAGGGTCTGAAATCAGAGAGATCAGTCCCAGGGTCAATGCCCCAGGTCCTTATATGGCTGTAGTACCTAGCTTTCTAAAATCCCTTTCATACCACCCAGGCTTCTCAGAAAACCAATGAGGTTGGCAAAGGCTTTCAATTAGGTGCAACTGTGTTTCAACCCCATATCTGCCATTGACTGGCTGTATAACCTTGGGAAAGTTACTCAACCTTTCAGTGGTTTGGTGACCACAACTGAAAACCAGGCATTAGATGAGTTCGCATTTGAGAGGCGCCTGACGCATGAGAAAATTTGGCAGGCAGAAGGTTGCTATGCCCTCCCTTTTACAAATGAGGAAATTCAAGCTCATCCTTGTGTCATGACCTGTCCTGGGCCTCCATTCTGTGCCAGTTTGCTCTGCTTCCCTCTCTGATCCCTGCAGCCAGCATGGTGTCCACGAGGACCAGACAAGTGACAGTTGGTGGCATTCCTATCTTATTTCCCCAATTCAGTTTACATTTCCTGGGGAAAAGGTCTTTAAGTACCTCCAAATACTATTCCTGGCAGAGGGAAGCTGTCAAATGCCTCAGAAGTCATTTCAGGGATACTTTGCTGGCTTTAGGTGAAGAGGGGATGGCAATCAAGAATAGCATCCAATGGGGTCATCCCAGCTGCGAATCTCACAGGAGAAGCTGCCAGCTGCCCATTGAGAAACAAGTGGTCATCAAGTACACACTCACCCAAGATACTAGTGAATGTCTGGAGCCATGTATAAGGCAGGAAAAGGCAGAGGAAGAGTAAGATCATGCATTAATTCAACAAATATTTATGTAGCTCCCACATTGAGGGCTCAGCAGTGCAAGGAGACACAACCTCTGCTGTTACCCATCTCACAGGCCCGGTTCCCCTCTTGAGATACTAAGATATAGATCAACTCAAAAGAGAACCTTGAGATCGTCCCTCAGGGAGATGGGATGGCAAACCCCATGCAACTCTGGGAAGCCTTGCCTCGCCCAAGATTAGCCCAAGGCCTTAATCCCTGGTCCCAAAACTAGCCTCTCGAGGGATGAAGGGAGGCCTGCTGCCTTCCTCCCTGATTGGCTGGCAACCAAGCCCAACTTCAGCCCAGGGGCAAGCAGGAGGCGGGCCATCTCTGCCCAAAGACTATTTAAAGGGCTCCATCAGGAACCAGCAATCCCTGGGTGTGAGCATCTCACTCCAGGGTCAGGCAGGAAACAGGATTTGGCAAGTCCAAGGACTTCTCTGACGGCTCCCTCTGACCCCAGAATCCCAGGAGATCGGGCACTCCAAGGAAACAGAAGCAGCTTTCTCTCTCCAGCCAGGGTCAGGCCCTGAGACGAGGCCCGCTGGATGTGGGGGGAGCCCCACCTTTACTCTCTGCACCTTTGGAAAGGTTATTTTGGCAAACTATGGGCTAAAAAAAACCCTTTTGGGGTAGCTTTGAAGACCTGAGACTTCTTGACAAAGGCCCGGAGACCAGGGAAGCAGAAGCAACAGTCAGGCCTTGGACCCAAGAGACTCAGGAAGGGGCCTGGCTACTCTCAGGATGTCAGGGACATGACAGCTAATGCTTTGGACTTCAGCATGAGCTCAAGCCACGGCATGAGAGACCAAGGTTAGACATGAGAATTATCTTTCTGACAGGAATGGCTGTATGACATTTGAACAGGCTGCCCACGGAGGTTAAGAAAGGGATTTCAGATTCACACACCCTCTTAAGAAAGGTGTTGCCAGTTTCCATCACCCTCATGACATCAAGGGTCTGAAATCAGAAAGACCGGTCCCAGACTCAGCCTCACGATTTCCTGGCTTGGGACTTCATTCAAGTTCCTGAACTTCCCTGCACCTCAGTTTCCTCTCTGAAAACAGATGCTGCAGACTGACCCCACCTTTACAAAGCCTCTGGAAGAAGAAATGAGATACCATCCATTGAATGCACTGCCCAGAGCCCTGCATAGTGCAGACACTTAATAAATTCTGTTTCATGGGATCCCTGGGTGGCGCAGCGGTTTGGCGCCTGCCTTTGGCTCAGGGCGCGATCCTGGAGACCCGGGATCCCACGTCGGGCTGCTGGTGCATGGAGCCTGCTTCTCCCTCTGCCTGTGTCTCTGCCTCTCTCTGTGTGTGTGTGTGTGTGTGTGTGTGTGTGTGTGTGACTATCGTAAATAAATAAAAATTAAAAAAAAATAAATTCTGTTTCATTCTCCCAGCCCCAGAGAAGTCTGGCCTTAAATTGTGTACTCAGAAGGCACATTCTACATTAAGTCTCCCCCAGAAAAAAATAAGGACCTCTCTGAGAATGGCCATCTCTCGAACCAGGATTGCTGGGCAAGGAGTTTCACCCAGCAAAACTCATGGAGTCCCTCTCAGAGGACTTGATCCTCCCCCAAAATGATCTGATCCTCAGGAAAACAGAAGCACCTCCAACCTCCTCCAGCAGGACTAAGAAACGGGTTCTCCCTCTCCCCCTAGTCCTCACCAGAGCCCAGCCCAGCCACGGCACCCAGAGTTCTCTGCTTCCTCATTCCTTGCCCTCTGTCCAGGGTTATGAACCCCAGAGGAATCAGCCTCAGACCAGAGGCAACAAATTAAGTGTGTGTGGATGCTGCTGCTCTAAGAAGCCCAAGAGCAGAGATGCTAGAGACTGAGGAGCAGGAGTGGGGTTTGGACTAAGGAGGGCAATAAGGGATTGATGTTTCTTTGGACTTAAGCTTGGAGAAATCAGGGAGAGCTTCCTGGAGTTGCTGTCTTTCCCTCTGAGCACTTTAATTGCCTTATGGGAAGGAGGGTGGTGGCTTCAGGGGGTGATGGGGTAGATAAGGTTCCTCTTTGCAGGTGGCAGAGATGTTACCTGGCTCAGCTACTCTGGAGGTCAGGTGTGCCTGACTGGAAAAGAGGAGAGGTTCTAGGGACACATGTGGGAGGCCCAGAAACAAGGGGGAAGGTCTTGGCAATGAGCTGTAAAAGGCCAGGGCCTGGGCTCCTGGAACAAGCACTAGACTTTGAGTCATGCAGATGTGGGGCCCAGTCCTAGCCCTGTTGTTCACTATCCATCCATGAGGCCCCCAGCAAAGTTATTCACCTCCCTGACTCCCTCATCTCTAAGATGAGAATCATAAATCCTGACCACCTACAGTTGCATTAAACAAGACCCAAGGGTGGAGTCACCTCGCAAAGTGCCGACCACGAGTGGTGAACCAATACAACCTATACGGTCAATCGTTCAGTAAATAATTGTTCAATGACAAGTACTGTAGCTAGGTGCACCAAACTTCTCTGAGGAATATCCCCATCTCCTGTTTCCATGATCACTAGACAGAATAAGCCAGAACAGCAGGTCACCTGAGCAGCCTGAGTTGGTCCTAGGTGCCCTGGACACCCCAAAGAATCAATTATGACCATTCAAGGAAGAGGCCAAAATAAGAAGAGATGTCACCATGCGGGTCCTAGGCCCACGAGGCCTCCAACAAGAAAAAGTGGACATACTACCATGAGATATTTGCAAAAGGCCAAGCAATTCTTTTTTTTTTTTATTCATTTATTTATGATAGGCACACAGTGAGAGAGAGAGAGAGGCAGAGACACAGGCAGAGGGAGAAGCAGGCTCCATGCACCGGGAGCCCGACGTGGGATTCGATCCCGGGTCTCCAGGATCGCGCCCTGGGCCAAAGGCAGGCGCTAAACCGCTGCGCCACCCAGGGATCCCAAGGCCAAGCAATTCTTTATTGCATAGACAGACATGGTACAAATGAGCTTGTTACACAAGACAGCTGCTTCTTGGCCATCCTTGCTCTAAAGCAGATGGGGAAAGTTGGAGGGGGGAGCATGCCAAGCACCCAAAAAGGAGAAGTGGACCCTCTGAAAGCAGGGACTGGGGTTTGCTCTTCTGGCCCCTCTGGCCAGTCCTCCACTCAGCCTGGGAAGGATGGGATGATAAGGGACGTCTCTCTTGCACC